TGTGGCTCATTGGTTGAGCGTGGACACATGAACCAAGAGGTCGCTGGTTCGATTCCAGTCAGGGCACATGCCCTGGTTGTGGGCTCAATCACCAGTGGGGGTCAGGCAGGAGGCAGTCAATTGAGGTTCTCTGTCATTGATGTTTCTATCTCTTTCTCCCTTTCCCTTCCTCCCCCTCTCTAAAATCAATAAAGAAAAAAAAAGTTGAACTACTTTTAAAATTTCAGTATGAATTTATATTTATGAAAAATTTGGTAAGCAAAAACTAATTATTTTTTTTATATTTCAAACTTAACCATCTTAATAGAAATAAACTACTCTTTCAACACCTTATTTTATTCCAAACACTGTTAGTGTGCAAATGTGTATTTCTGTCTTTATAATCAAGGTGTGCTATTGTCTGGTGTTATTCTTTATATCAGCTCATATTTTCCCACATGACTAGGTATTCATGTTTTCAGTGATACATTATGACCACTGAATAATCAACTCCTTCACTAATCTTATTAGTAGAAAATATGCAGGGCTCATAACCTTTCAGGTACAGATTTCACCTTCAGTTTTCTGAAGAAGGCCACAGCAGTACGCATCTCATTCCACTTGATCTTCTTACGATAGGATGCTGCTATCCTTCTACTGAGCGGTGGCCATCTATGTTCCTTCCCCTTGAGCTCAGACAAATCTTTAAAAAAATTTTTTTTTATCCTCACCGAGGACATTTTTTGATATTTTGTTCAGATAGAGTGGGAGGGAGAGAGAGAGAGAGAAATATCGACGTGAAAGGGACACATTGAGTGGTCGCCACCCACACGACCCGACCAGGGCAGGGGACAAACTGCAACCGAGGTACATGCCCTTAGAAGGACCGCAGGCTGATGCTCTAACTGCTGAGCCAAACCGGCCAGGGCTCAGACAAATCTTTGTAACAGCCTTGACTAACAGAATTTGGTGGAAGTGAGCCTGTCATATAAAAGGCAATGTGCCTTTCACCGGCTTCTCTGTGTCTCTGTCTCTTTCTGCGCTTGCTTTTGGAACCCAGCCACCATATTGTGAGGAAGCCCAAACACGTGAGAACACACACAAATTCCAACGGACAGCCTCTGCTAGGATTCCAGCCCATCGTCAACATCAGCCACCAGACAAGATACCTGTAGGACTCTGTGATCATGGGAATTTCCTGTTTGTGTTGTCCAATATGACAATTTACTACACATGAGTCTATTGAGCAATTATAATAAATGAGGGAGTAAATTTTTAATTTTATTTAACTTCAGATAATTTAAATTTCAAAACGACATCTGGCTAATGGCTGCCACATTGGATAGTTTAGCTTCATAGCCTTTCAGTCTTCCAGCTGAAGCAACAGACATCATGCAGCAGAAACAAACCATCCCACTGTGCCCTCTCTGTATTCCTAGCTCTTGTAAACCACGACAGATAATAAATAAATACTGTTGGTTTAAGCTACTCAGTTTTGGAGTGATTTGTGACATAGCAATCAACAACAAATACACAGTTTCTATAGTTTTTTTTTCCCCTGTTTGTTTTTTTTTGTTCTTATAGCAAATAAAAATGCACAAATCTCTTTCATCTTTAAAATCCCTCTGGCTATGGTTTAGTGTCTCTTTCTTTTACAGCCAGTTTTTTAAACGAGTCGTCTACACTTACTGTCTTTATTCACAACTTCTTTACTAGTCAACACCCACTAGGCTGTGGAAACAAATGAGGTCACAGTAACATTGGTTCAGGCTTATTTTCCCACTTGGAAAATATAGGATTTCAGTACCCCACCCTGCCTTCATGCTCTCTCCAGATTCTTCTTCTTTTTTATTTACTTATTTATTTTTAGTACGTGCCCCTAGCGGGGGCGAACCAGGCACTCTCCGGTTCCGCAGGTCGATGCTCCAACGATGCTCCAACCGCTGAGCCAAACTGGCCAGGGCTCTCCCGCTTACTTCTGACCAAAGCCCACTTTGGCACAAAAATCCACCCCACTCCTGGCTGAGAAATTGCAAACAAAAAAACAACCCCCCCCCCCCCCAAAAAAAAACCCCATCTTTTTTGAGTGGACTAGACAAAGATCACATTTTTAGAAATAGACACTTCTTCTGGAGGGCCCATGCGGTTCTCAGCCAGGTCCGTCGTTCGGCAAATGGAGTGTGGGCAGGGTCTCAGCCTCTGCTTGCTCCCCCGTCAGGTGTCCTTGCGCAAAGCGCCAGCAGCACAGGCTGTACAACCATATGCGGTAGCTGTTTTCCTGGGCCGCTCAGAGCTTTCTCACGTGTCCATCAACATTCCCTCATGGGCTGCTCTGGTCTCCTTGTGGATGCCTCTGGCCGATGAAACCCCTGGAGGGTGGCATCTTGTGAAGCGTCCTGGATGAGGGTACCCCTTCCAGCCCAGAGTGCTCTCCAAACTGCAGAACCCTAGGGATCCTAAAACGGAGCTCTTTTCCCACTCCTCCCTACCTCAGAGCTGTGCCACGATCCTCCACAAGACATGGGGAATGACCTGGCTGCCCTACCGTGCGGCACAAAGGCTACCTCGAAAATAGCTCTTCCAGCTGGGTCCTTGCCTGCTTCTCTTCGCAGGGTTCAGAATCAATCACAGGATGGGACTGGGGCCCAGAAACAATGCAGCCCTCTCTATGTACACCCTCTTTCTTTTCTGCACAACTCCCAGCATCAGTGAGCACATCTCCCATTCTCCCTTCTCCAGACTAGCCTGCTCCCAGCCCTCAAACATCATCTGGGAATCCCAGAGTAACCCATTATAGCAAAGTAAGTAAAACTCCCAAATACTATTTTCGTCCAAATTGGTCAGACATCTGGGTGCAGAATGTGGTTTAAGGCTCTTATTTCCTAGAACATACTATCTATTACAAAAGTGACGAAATATTTGCATGACACCAGCTCTCCAGAAGTGGGATAGGTTACCCTCTCTCTCCATTGGGAAAACACAGCTCACCCACAGGAGGCTGAGTAAATGGCTGTTTATGCTCCGAGGGGCTGTTGTAAGTCTTAGAAGGCATATTTATTGAAAAAATCTGCATATGAATGGACCCAAGCAGTTCTAACCTGTATTGCTCAAGAATCAACTGTATTTGCAGTTCACATTGGGGGTAGGTACCTGGTTCAATACGTGATACAGTCCAGTCTAGAAAGAAAAGTCCACTTTTTAAAAAATCCTTACCTGAGGATATTTTTCCATTTATTTTTAGATAAAGTGGGAGTGGAGGGGCGAGAGAAACAACGTTGTGACAGACACATCGATTGGTTGCCTCCTGCATGACCCGGACCAGGGCGGGGGTCTGAACTGCAACGGAAGGAAGTACGTGCCCCTGACTGGAATCGAACCCTTGACTCATTGGTCTGAGGGTTGATGCTCCAACTGCTGAGCCAAACTGGCCAGGACCAAGAAAGGTTCAATTTATAATGAGGGGTTCTGATTTGTTTGGAAGATCTCAAAGTATTACTAATTATGTTACTTTATGACTGTAGTAAAAGTATTAGGAATTATTGTAACTAAATCCAAATTTTTCCAGTAAAACATACCACACACATTTTTTCCCCACTACTCATCAGTTTTGGAACACTAACTTAATAAATTTATTGGTTATTAATTAGGTAATAAGGTTTTACATTTTTTTGTCCAGGTGGAATACTCAGTGGTATTTAATAGACTAGAGTTTTGCAAGAGAAGAGGAAATATTATTTTTCCCAAGATGACATTCTTGGTATCATTGTCAAAATATTATCTGATAGAAAAATATTGCAAGAATGATTAAACTTCTTGTATTTATTGAATTTTTCTTTTTCAGCATTAACTAGCACAAGTCCTCAAAATCTTGTGATGTGTATTTTCTTTTTTAATTTGAATAAACATAAAGCCCTCAGAAATGATACTGGTGATTACTAAAATTCAAAATTTTAAGAAAAACATTTTAAGAAATCATACTTTATGTATATTTTACATTTAAAAATGTTTTTATTGATTTTAGAGAGAGGAAGAGAGAAGGAGAGACAGAGAAACATCGATGTGAGAGAGAAACATCTATGGGCTGCCTCCTATATGCCCCCTACTGGAGATTGAACCAGCAACCTGGGCATGTGCCCTGACCAGGAACTGCACTGGCAAGCTTTGGTGCACAGGACGACACTAAACCAACTGAGCCATGCCGGCCAGGGCTGGATAATTTTGTATTTAAAATGAAATGTATCTGGATTATTTTAGGTCTTCTGATATAATGTGGCATAATAAAAAATTGTCTTTAGAATATTAATTTTGATAGATCAAGAAATGGGCCTGTTAAAATGATTATTCTATAATCCGGATTCTGGTTCTTCAATGGAACAAAGCTAGAAGGAATTCCCTTTTCTGGTTTCCCCCTTGGGATATCTGGGTGTGGTTTATTTTCTTCTCTGGCTGGAACAAAAATATGCAGGAAAATCTTCTACAAAAATTCCTTGTTCTTACAAACAAACTAAGGAGAAAAAACGCAGCAGATCAAGTCTGGCTTAATCATTTGCTTATACTGGTGCATATATTGGATTTTTTCCAGGTTAACAAAAATAAAGCCACAGGGAAGATATATGCAGTAGTATATTTAAGCTACCAGCTCACACACATTTTAATGGCTGAAAATATATAAAAATATGAAGGTGGAAAAAAAACAGTAAGCAGTTATGAAACATAACATGGTTTCTTATTCTTTATTAGTTTAAAGGAAGCTAGAACCTGATAACAATATGCTACATACAGTTAAGAACCAAACAAAGGCGGCTTAGTTATTTATTTTGCATTTGCTCCTTTTAGGAAGTGAGAAAAAAAACAGCTTTATGAGCACTCATTTATTTTAAATTAAAATCCCCATAAATTATAAAACACCCCATAAAACAGGAAAAATGGAAAAAAAATATTTAGAAAAAAACTTTGTTAAGTATATTTTTCTTTTCTTTTTTTTATAGTGCCTTGGATTGTATGATCAATCTTATAAGGCCACTTAAAATAATAATTCAACCTCTGTGTTCCTGTTTAGGATAACACATAATAATGTTTTTTCCCTTTGGTGCAAATAAGAGGAAACATTTATTGCTTAGTTTTGAGCATTGAAAACACTTGCCCCTCCCCCAAATTCTGCCATTTGCTCCTGTCCCACATGAATAAAAGGATGCCACATAGACACTGGGGCCTTGCTGCCATTGTCTCTTTTCTAATTAAAATTCAGAGTATTAAGCACAGTTGAGTACATCCATGCATCCATGACATACTGTTATCACATACCGGAAGCACCAATCAAGAGCACTGAGCAAGGCTCATTTCATAACATCATTAACATTCATTGTATGCGGTGGTTCAGAAAGGCTTTGTCAAAGCAGATAATAACGGCCTGTCAGAAAAGCACAAACAGAAATTTATATTAAATTGTCCTTCCCCTCCTTTTTTCAGTATGGGAATCTGGTTGCATTGCCAGTATATGGGCTCAGAGCTTAACTTCAAAGGTTTCCAGGTTCTTCAGGCTGCAAAATAGTACCAAAAAAGAGAGTATTTTAAAAAAGTTAAGTGAGAGTATTTGAGTAACTAGGCGGGGGTACCGTCTTCGAGCACAGTGACTGCATGAATGAGAACAAAAGGAGGTGTAGCTCGGGAGTGTGAAGGTAGACAGAACTCATGAGTCACAAGGCGGAGTGTTTAATTTGGAACAAGTCAAATAAAAACATTGCTTTCTTTTCCTTAAGAACTTTTGATACTCTCTCTGTTATAATCTCAGAAAAAAAAGCTGTGTCATTAAAACATTTTTTTTTCTTTTCTACCCTGCTGAGTGAAAACGCCTGGGGAGATGAACTTGACACAGTGGCTTCCTGCAGGTAGTTGTAAGTATGATGTTATCTGGAGATTTGATGGTGAGAACTGACTTCTTTAGACTCGATACTTTTCTTTGCCATGTTCATTGATCACGCATATGTGCTGAAACAAAGAATTTAATAATGCATCAGTTTCTTAGCAAAATATGAGGCGCAGAAAATGTTACGCGATAACAAGACTATCATCTTGTAATTGGTTACTGTTTACCTAAATGTATGTATTTACGTTTGTGTGTGTGTGTGTGTTTGTGTATGTGTGTAAAATCTGAGCAGTCCCATTCCAATGCTTGACAAAAATTTCTTCATTGTTTTAGTTTTGGGACTTTTTCTGAATTTAGCTCCCTAGTTCTACTCTATAAACAACCAGAAATGCTGAAGGGGCAGCATGGTTAGCTGTGGTGGAGGTAGAAATCTCTTACTGGTAAAATCACAGCCTCTAGGGTAGATAGAGAAATAGGCATAATAAAAATAATATGGACTCTTATTTGACTCTTTTGGATAGCAAGAAATGTGTCAGGAATATTTTGATTGCAAGCAACAGAAATGAAGTCAGGCTAACATAAGCAAAATAGGGAGATTTGTTGGTAAGATACTGGGTAGTTCACAGAAGCAAAGAAAAAGCTGAGCAATGAAGGATCTGGAAGACAAGAACAGGAACAGGGGTAGCTCCAGACCTCAGTTCATGGCTTAAGCCCCAAATTCTTTAGTCTCTCTGATTTTGGTATAAGTTTCTAATTCTTAGGAGAGAGAGAGAGAGAGAGAGAGAGAGAGAGAGAGAGAGAGAGATTGTTGGTTGGTTTATTTTGGGTAAGATGTTTAGATCATTAAGTAATGGTCAGGGTCATACAGCTGAGGGTTCATGTCTATATGTTAAAATTGTGGTAGGCAGTTAGAGAGACATGAGCAGAACAGGATGATGCGCCAGGTATAGAAGGTCAAGAGGATGGAAAGCCCTGGGCACCTAGCAAAGGACAATTGTAGCATGGGACCTAGCCCCCAGGGTGACATTTTCTCCCTTAGCATGTTGCTGGTTGTGCAGTTTGGACCCCCTGACCTTTACTTCCTAGAGATAACATCTAGGCCTCAGCTGTATTTCAGCTCCAGGCCCAGAAAAGCAGCAAAACCAGACAAGCAATGCCGCAGCTAAGGCTGACCTCAGGACCAGCTGCCCTGGTGCTGACCAGTCAGTCGGTGGAGACTCTGGCCCTGAAAGGACACACCCAGAAAGCTGCTGAATATCACTGAGATCATTGCTTGGGACCTCCCCTAAAATCTTCACCCTTAAAACCCTTGATGGAGGACCCAGCATGCGCTCCCTCCTGGGAGCATGCCCACACCTTTCCGGTCCTCCTCCCTATCCCCTCAGGCGCGTCACCTTGACCTTCCTCACTTCTAAGTTCCAAGGGCCCTTCTTTTACCTCCATAACCTGTTTCCTAAGCTGATTTCTTCTATAAATTACTAATTTTACCTCTGTGATTTTCCAAAGAATAGTTTTCTTATAGTTTGAGTCTTGGCTCTGAATTCTTTCTTAGCCAGAACTCAAGTACCCCAAGTTTGCTGAACCCAGGTTCAGTCTGACCCCACAGGTCTAACACCTGGTGCTGTTCCCACTGCCAACAAAACTACTGCTCCCAAATTGGGAATAGTCATGAGCCAGTTGCGTGCCACTCTAATTGGCCTGCTAGATTTTAAGCACTGACTCAAAAGAGTTTATAGAATATTGCCTATTACTATGGGTGAGTAGGCACAGTCAATGACTTGGAGGAAAATCAATATCAAGCCATAGTTCTGCTTTTAGCTTCTTTATTTCTCTAGTATGAAAGAGATAATAGAAAAGAAAAATTTTACAAAATAAATAAATAAAATAGAGATAATCATAATTGCTTCTATCACCTTAATTCCTACCTTGCAGGGTAGCGTGTGTGGGGGAATTAATTGAGATTATGCAAAGTGCCCAAAATATTCCTGACAAAGAAGTCACTTAATAAATGGCAGCTATCATTACTACTATTTCAATAATTTGATAAATTGATGGAACTGTTAAGCTCTTGTGAAAAGGAGGTAAGAATTTGCATGCAAGACTTACATTCAGATCTCTGAAGTATTCGTTGTAATCTAAGGCATAACCCACCACAAACAAGTTTGGAATCTCAAATCCAGCATCTGAGCAGAGAGAAGGAGGAAAAAAAGAAACAAAATTTAGATAACATAGTATAAAGCCAACATAGGCTATTGGTAATACTTCAATGGTGAGGACTCTTCATTTAGGCAAAAGCAAGTGAGAAAAGTGATAAGCAATGCATTGGATGAGCCCAGCAGGGACCTGGACCAGAGTGAGTACTCAGGGAAACAAGACAGATGAGCCAACATACAATAAAAAACTACTGTATCCCCGGCATCCAGAGCTGAGAAAGGGCTCAGGCAGCCCAGTAGATAAGAAGTATGCATGAATTGGTCATGTTGTTCCACAGCTGTATCCAATGGTGTAATGCCAAAGGAAACACTCTGAAAAGCACCGAGTGCAGCTCACACAGAAGGTATTGCGATGCTGCAATGTGTGATGTGTGAATAGGTGTGCAGCCTGTTGCAAGTAAGAGGTGATCCTCCCACTGTAGTCAGTGTCCTCAGGGGTATAAAGGGCTGGGAAGCAAAACCTGGGAGACAATATGACAGGAAATGGGATTGTTCAGCTTGAGGAAGAGAACGTTTGCAGTTCATGATGCAGATGACAATAATTAACTCTTTATTTCTATTAAGGGCAGATTTAAATGCAGTAGAAGGTACTCAGGTTAAGCAAAAGAATTTACTGAAAGGAAGATGATTTTTATTAAAAAGATGTTTAAGGAACAGACCATGGCTCTCCTTTTTCGAAGAGCTTGAAACAGAATAAATGTACTTGTGATCCATGATTTTAAAAACTCTTTCCAGTGTTTTGGAATCTGTGTTTGTTTATCCAAGTATTGCAGATGATAGATGTACCTGTTTACTTTTATGAAACTGTACTTTAGTGCAGCCAATGGACTTACAGCATCAAGTTACCTCCGTGGGACTGCCCACCGCCATTTTGATCCCGATGACCAAAGATGCTTTCCCATGGAGAAACCAACTGGTCCCTACTCACAGAACATGCTAGAGGTGAAGGACTTATTTTCTGGGGGACTACATTATGTGTTACTGTTAGGAAGCCATTTGATGGTCCAAACTGTAGGTTCTTGAGAAAAATAATCAGAGGAGATGGACGAGCAGAACAAAAGATATCATTGAGCATAGAGGAAAGAGTCAATTAGGAGAAAGGGACAAAACGTACAAAGACTCAGAAATCCAGAAGAAAGAAGAAACAGATTTTGAGCTAGCTAAAATAATATTAGGAAACTCCAGGAAACCCTGGTTGTAACAATAATAATGACTTTACAGTAAGCAATGCAAACCCAAGAACAGGTGTGGCAACTCAGACTGGGAAAAGCCGACTGGGAAAGCCAAACCTTGAGAGCTGTCATGGAATAAAAGGAAGACTTGAATGAGTAGGATGGGAACCAGACTGACCTATCTCTAGCTGGGAAATGGGTGCAATTCCTACTTTTAGTTTGTAATTGCAGATGTTACTCACAGGCATATTGCAAGTGTAAGAGCAGGGATTAAAACCAGATAGCCTGGGTTCAGTACTGCCTCTGCATTTACAACTATGTGACGTTGGCAAGCTATTTGTCTTGTTACATTCAATATCCTTGTCTGTAATGTGGACATAACAATAGCACCTACCTTAGAGGATTAAATGTGTTAATCTCTGTGTAGCTCTTAGAACAGTGTCTGGAACATCATAACCTCTTACTAGTGTTTGCTGTTATTACTTTATTAATGTTGTTGCCATAAGTGACACAAAAAATTTGTAATTAACTGGATGTTTGAAGGGAATGCCTTTCAATTTCAGTTAAAACCTTTTCTGTACAGTGTCTTACATTATTTTCTTAGAAGATCTCTGTTTACTAAACTTGTCCAGTTTTAACTATATCCAGGTTATGTTCCCCAAACCAGTCACTGGACAGGAATACACTATTGGGTCTATCTGCCCAGAACTGACATTGTCTAGATGTAATACATCCCACAATGAAACTTGTTTTTTAGAATAAAGAGTCGCTGGCTAAATATCACTGGCACATTACCCGTCCGTAGCAGGCTTCTCTGGCTGCAATGTTTGTTCAGCTTGCTGAGGAGAACTGGGGCCAAAGTATCCCCGAGGCTTCAGAGCAAATGTAAGTTATAAAAATGAAGCTGAAGTCTGCCTATGCAAGTGAAAAAAAATCACCTCCCGTGTTAGAATAATAAATAATCAAGCTGCTTGTTTATCCTTCTGCACTAGATGAGCACAGTCTTCCAGAACACACGTCTGAAGGCAAGTGTGAAGGTAGCATCTATAGATAATCTGCTCTGTTAATTCTTGATTATTGTTCTGTTTCTGGGAAATTTTATTTTATTTTTTTATTGAATTATAGTTAACATACAATATTATATTGATTTCTGGTGTACAACATAGTGGTTTTAGGTTCCTTTAAAATTTTTTTAATTTTTTAATTAATTTATTTTTGTTACAGATGTTTCTCCTTTTTCCCCTTTTGACACCCTCCTCCCGCTCCCCGCTCCCAGTTTGATGTTTTTATACATTACAGAATGATCAGCACAATAACTCTAGTTACCATCTGTTGTGATACAGAGTTATTACAATATTATTGACTATATTCCCTATGCTGTACATTTAATTCTTTGTGTTATTGAACTTTTGTTTGGAGGTGGTGGGAGATGTCTTGGATTTCCCCTTCTGTGTGCTAAAATTAGGCTCGCTGAAGGTCAGCCTTGTGCATTGTCTGGCAACAGTTCCTGGAGATGGAACGAGAATGCCTCCGACCGGTACCAGTGCTGCTCCGTGTCTGATTGGAAGACTCAGTGGCCAAGGCAGGAATCCCGTGCATCTGAGTCCGTCCAGAGAGGTCAAGACTCCCTCCACCACATGAAACCTATTATCTGAGTTCTTTGGAGTTAAGGTACTAAGGAAAATCTAAAAGTCAAAATATTTATGCACACAACTGAGTTCCTGTGAAAGATGCAAATTAGAAAATATAAGCCCCTTGTTATAAAGAGTTCTAGCTTCTCTAGCAAGGCTAGGAAGACCAGAGGTATTTGTGGGTCTTTCAAACCTAGACAGCTTCCACTTCAGACAGCCTGCCATCAAACAGAAATTTCTTAAACACAAACCACGAAGCAACCCATTAACAAACAAAAACCAAAAACACTTACAGTCAGGTCTATAGCCATTACTTCTAGGTGTTCTCTTCACCAACAAACTACCATTCAAAAACAAAAAACAAAACAGCTTTAGTGATCTAAATAAAATCTCTGTGAATTGCAAATAGAACAAAACATCATTAAAACATGTAGTATTTAAAATATGTATATTTTTCCCTTGAGCGGATAGGGCATCATCACAGCCTCCAACTCAGGCTTCTGCTGCTTCAACAGCTCAGTGATTCTGGGCAAAAGGAAGGGAGGAAGGGGCACTGGCTCCAGGGCCCAGCAGCTGCTCCTGGAAACAGCTAGAGGCACAGTACAGAGGGGCTCAGCCACAGCAAAGCACATCCTCTTCCCTTTCCTCTCTCTCAGTCCAGCAGTCCAGTGGGCTATGTGTACAGTGTGGTCAGACCACACTGCACTCTCTGAAAACAGCATCCAGTGTTAGCATCTCTCTTGGGCTGGTTTGGGAAGACAGAGACAACAAGGATGTGTGTCCTGCTCACCTGGCCACTTTAATCATGTTGGGTTTGTATTTTTCTATGCTGCTGAGCAGCGCTTTCATGGTCCTCCCCGTTCCAACAACATCCTTTGTAAAGAGAACGAACAAATTCAAACAAACGCATTTGGGCAGCATAGTAGATTTTTCATTCAGACACATAATTATATTCCTTATTAATAATGCATGGTAATTAGAACTGCGATCAAATTGGAGTCAAAGGAGGAGGTAGAATTGGTTCTAATTTTTTGGACAGGTGCTTCTTTCTGGAAGCTGGTCTTAGGGAAATATATTGGTGAGTATTTCTGTGAATCACTGAGCTGGGTTGAAAGGCTAAATTCAGCCTTTGGAGAGCATGTGGGCTTCTTACTGAGTGCATTTAGACTCTCACACCACACATTCAAGGGCTGCGTTTGGCCCCGAGGTTATGTGACACAATACAGGACACATGAATTTTCATGGACATGGGATGTACATCTGAATACACTGAATGAATAAACACCTCCCCCTTGCCCTCCCCACTCAATAGGGGACTCTATGACTAGGAAGTGAGATGTGTCTGGATGGCAGCTGGTGACAGCCCTTGAATTCTGAGGGTGCGAGCCTGCAGTGAGCTGAGGCTCATCTCCACTGATGAGCTGCTGCTCAATTAGAGTAGAATGGGCAGCAGAAATTTATTGTCCTCAGGACAGAAATCAGCTGTCAGGAGCAGATTATCAAAACAAGAGGTCTGAATTTATCCAGAGCTGGGCAATTCGTTTGGCGAGGGTCTACTTCATGGGTTATGACTGAGCCAGAATTGCGAATACATGGAGCATATACAGGCTATTGTGTACCAAAAGCTTAAACTGCCCCGAATCTCTGCCAGCTGATAAGACAGGTGTGCTCATGAAGGAAACAAGGACATGTGTTGTACAGGTCTACTGCTGCCACAGGGCCTGTCTTTTTTGTTTCTTCTGTTTTCCTTCCCTTTCTCTCTTTCTGCCCCCTTCCCTCCTTCTTCCCTGGGTCCCTTCCTTTTTAACAGAACCAATTAAATTAATTCACAGTTTTCCTTTGAACTGCCATTTAAATATTGATTATATTTATGAGTTGTATGCTGAAGACAGAATTGCTCAAAATAATTAGAGGTCATTAGCAAGAACACCGAGTTAAGGGTGAAGAGAGTTCTCACCTTGGCTTACCTATTAAATACATTTGGCTTTATGGGTTAGTTTTCTCTTCTATAAAAATGTCTGATTCACAAATAAGTATAATAACCAATTTAGACATGTGTGAAATTAAATATATAAAACCGTTTTTATAAGTTATTTCAAGTCAGTAATTCTAGTTGGCTCCTACTCAATAAATTTGGAGAAACGCACACAGAGGGAATGCAATAAATCCTTGGCCAATTTGATAACATGTTATATATTTTAAAACTCACCATTTTATCACCAGATAAAAAAGTCAGCTTACCTCAACAATGAGGACATTCTGAAAACAAACAAACAAACAAACAAGAAACACCAATTATTTTAGAATCTAATGCAAATCTAGCTCACAAGATAAACACGTTTTGCTTACAGTTGGAATTTCACAATTTACTTTTTTGGTGCTCTACCATTCATCTAACCCAAATGCTTGAAGATGATCTAGGTATTCCAGACTCACTTTAATAGTATCTCTGAAATGACGTGATGCTACAATATTTATATTCAGGTTAGGAGCAGGTTTATTTTAGACCCTGTTACCTGTCTGAAAAGCTATCCACTGTCATCTCTTCATAATCCTGGCAAGTGCCTCACCCAGCATTCTTTGGAACATAAAGCTTACTATGCATTTTCCAGGAAAACAAAGCCAACACAAACTGCATTGCTAATGGAGACAGTGCTCTGTGCAGGGATTATGTGTTCAGCTGGGGCAGCCCTATTCCCGCAGAGCCACCAACATCACTGGGGATTCTGTGCTTACTCTCAGATGTTCAACCCCGAGGAAGGGGGTGGGATACAGAGAGGGCTCTCAGGTGCCTGGTTTATATTTTCAGTGACATGGTTAGCGTTCTTGCTATGTGCTTTCAAGTCATTCACCAACTTCTTCCTTAGGAACACTGGTTATGTTTCATTTAAATTTCTTGTTTGATACCTGTCTTCCCTACTAGAGGATAAAGTCCACGAGGATGAGAATCATGTTTATCTTGCTTATTACTGTATTCTCAGTCCCCAGCATAAATCTCTGTATAAAGATGCTAAGTAATTATTTGTCGAATGAAAGAATAAGAACTAATTATACTTATTAATGAGTTAAAATCAACCAATTAAATGGATTAGTAGTTACATGTCAATACTGTCCCACCAAATTAAAATATGACTGTGTTATTATGCCATTCCAATGAACTAAATGGTGTGGATATCCCTCAGTGTAATGGTTTCTTTCTTTAGATGATTTTTCATTTATCCCAATGATTCATATAATAGTTTAAAAATTGGATCAAGCCTTACACCTTAGATATCTTACTTATAACTAATGCAAAAGAGATTTAAGTGATAAAAATGTTAACCAGCCAACTAAAACTCTTAAATTTGTACCACATTACTTTCTGTTTTAAATGCATTTTGAGGTGAAATTCTTTCTGGAAGTGTTTTTCTCTCAGGTCTGGTATTTTATTCATTAAATTTATTTTAAACATCTTAATTTTATCATTAAAATGGAAGATTATTTTGCTGCTTTTTAAAGCAGGTCTTGTTCGCCCTGGCTGGTTTGGTTCAGCGGTTAGAGCGTCGGCCTGCGGTCCTGAGAGACCCGGGTTCGGTTCCCGCTAAGGGCACGTATCTCGGTTGCAGTTTGTCCCCGGCCCTGGTCGGTTGTGCGGGTGGCAGCCACTCGATGTGTCCCTTTCACGTCGATGTTTCTCTCTCTCTGTTCCTCTCTCCCTCCCACTCTACCTGAACAAAGAATGGAAAAATGTCCTCGGGTGAGGATAAAAAAAAAAAAAAATAATAAAGCAGGTCATGTTCCCAGTATCTTCTCTGTCCTGAGAATCATACTGATCCCGTTGGTATTCTCAACACATTTGCTCTTCTCTTAACTATCGACCTATAACAGTTACTTAGGATGTGCATTTGTAGTTTGATTGACACTTATCAACCATGCCTATTAACCAACCAGAATACTTGGAGAATATTTGGTTAATTTAATCTTTTAGTTCACAGTCTCTTTTTGTTTTAATCTGATAATGAAAAACCTTTCTAAAATCTGTTAGTCTGCATTCTTGCCTAATTAAGTAAAGTACACTGAATGTAATTAAATCTGTTTTTTGAAAGTTCAGAACCTTGCAAAACAAGAATCATCTTTAAAAAGATTAGCTTCAACTATAGAATATAGTGGTAGCTGTGTACTAATCCAGAGATATGTCAAAATTACTTAAACACATTTTAAAATTAAAGTAATATATATATGTGCTCAAAATCAAATAGAAAAGTCTATTTTCTAAATGTTGATGTGTGCCTGTTTAAAGTATTTTAAAATGCTTATGTATTTTTAAACAGATTAAAGTTATCCTGATAATCTTTATTATGCATAGCTAAATATTAATTATCACATCTAACAAAAATGACAATTTCTTAATATCATATAAAACTCAGTACACATTTAAATTTCCCCAGTTGTCCTTAAAATAGCCTTTGTAGCTGGTTTGTCAAAGACCATGCACTGGATTTGTAATTCTCTGTCTCTCTCTCTCTTTTTTTATCCTCACCTGAGGACATTTTTCCATTTTTTGTTCAGATAGAGGGGGAGGGAGAGAGAGAGAAACATCAACATGAAAGGGACACATCCAGTGGCTGCCACCCGCATGACCAACTAGGGCCGGGGACAAACCGCAACCGAGGTACGCGCCCTCAGCGGGAACCGAACCCGGGTCTCTCTGGACTGCAGGCTGATGCTCTAACCGCTGAGCCAAACTGGCCAGGGCTGTAATTCTCTTTTAATTAGAATATTTCTCTCTTCTGTATTTTGGTTTCTCAATCTAATAATTTTAGACATCATCTATTTGTTATATTATACAACAGATGAGAATTTAGTTCTTTCACTCCAACTCACTTCTTTTTTTTTTTTTTTTTTCCTCACCCGAGGACATTTTTCCATTTTGTTGTTCAGGTAGAGTGGGGGGAAGAGAGAGGAACAGAGAGAGAGAGAGAGAAACATCGACGTGAAGGGACACATCGAGTGGCTGCCACCCACACAACCGACCAGGGCCGGGGATAAACTGCAACCGAGGTACGTGCCCTTAGCGGGAACCGAACCCGGGTCTCTCCAGACCGCAGGCCGACGCTCTAACCGCTGAGCCAAACCGGCCAGGGCTCCAACTCACTTCTTTTCCCCACCTCCCAATGCAGTTACTTAGTTATAACTCTACCTCCTTGTGCTGCTTACATTTTCCCCAATAAAGACTCAAGCAGTGTACTATAATTATATTTCCTTTTAGAGCTTGTTTCTTTATTTTTTCTTGGAATTCTTAATTGGATTTTCTCTCTACTTCCAACTTCCAGTGTGTTATACTGAAATAATCCTCCATTATTTTTTAAAGCAAGCTTTTCTTTCTTGGAAGGATTATTATGGGGATAACTATATTTCTCAGAGGATTCTGGAGAATTAAAGGATGGGTTGATAATATCTGTAACATTACAAAGACCTCTCTGTTATGTACAGTATTAGGAAGTAAAATCATTTAGTGGGTTTATGAATGATGGGCAGGGAATGCTTGGTATAGACACACTGGCTGCTATTAAAAGGGAAACCATGCAGATATCTAGAGTTATTTAGTGAGTTATATAAGACAGTACTACACATATATTTACTTTCCTTTACAGAACATCACACTATGTTTTCAAATTCTTTCATTAGCAATATATGCCACTGTCTGGATTTTTCAGTGGCCCTGGTGTCATGTGAAAAGTTCACCTCTAACCAAAGCAATGCCTTTCGTCCCTTTGGAAGCTTGACTCTGTCATGGGAAACAAAAAGTGGCCCAAGAGGAGAGAGAAGGAAACTGCCCCAATTTGGAAGCATTTTCACCTCAATATATAACATGGAGATAGGTATGAGTAGTTCCTCAAGAAATGCCTGTGGAACAAATCAACAATTCTGACCTCCTTTCTTTCACTTTCTCCTGTTCATTATACTTCAGATATATCCCTGCATTTTTGCCTTAATGATGTACAACTCCTCGTTAATTGAGCTGTACTTAATGTCGACTGCTTTTAATTTGGCACCAAGAAATCTTCTAAAATTCCTTTTTGTTTTTTTTGAGTGGGCAGCCTTGGAAATTTCTTCAGAACACATTGTGCCTCCTAAACACTTGCAATCTGATAACTGTGATCACTGAATCTGAGATGTTCGCCAGTTTCTGTCTTAGTCATCTCATCACACCTAGCTCACTTCCTCCCAAAGCCAGTAAAAACTGCAGCCTGGGGGCCGGGGACCCGATTCTCTGGGGAACCTCTGAAGTGTTCTCCCTCTGCTATTGTGTGACCCTAATCAAAGCGAATCCCATCGGACTTACTAAAGAAAAGGATAGAAAGACTTATACAAATCTAAATGGTTTTCTTAAATAGCTTATTCCTATATTTAGTCTTTTAAAATGCAAAATGATTAGCATACTGCAGTCCACCCTGGGCAGCAGCTTTGTGGCTGTGGTCACACCAAGCAGAGGGAATGCCCAGCATGAATAGGGGTGTGAATATAAACCCCAGGGAGAAAGGAATGTAGTTCAGCATTTCATTTTATGTGATGATTCACAAAATTGCCAGAAACATCAGTCGGTGGGCATTTCCATTATTGTTCTCAGCCTAGTCAGATACAATAAAAAGGAATGATTTCAAGAGTTAAGGTAGCCAAGAAGGACATTTTGGCAGGTTCCGATGTTTCATTCTGGCATTTGATTAGAAACGTATTTGGGGCTGGGGGGGTGGGTCACGTCTCCCAAATCTTGCACTTAACCTGCACATCTGTGCTTTCCCATTGCCAGATTTGAAGTGGTTTCCATGAATTTGGTTTTATTCCACCCTTTCAGAGATTTCTCTTGACCGTGAATAAAATATTGCTTTACACACATTTTATGAAGTTCCAGGATCAAATCAACTTTGAAAAAAATCAGCAAGAGAACACCGTGCACAGACAGCTTAAACTCACTGAGTAAAATGCTTTAAACATTGTGAGCGAAGAGACCATTTAACTTCATCATTGAGGGCTCCCTTTATTCAACAGCCATGACCTATTTAGAACCATGACTCAGCCAGCCTCCCTTGTGCGCTTCTCTGTCCTTCAAAAAAAATAGAAAAGAGGGAAAAAAAGAAACAGAAAGGAAAAAAAAGTGAAAGAGGAAGAAAGGAAGGAAGGAAGAAAGAATGAATGAAAGAAAGAAATAAAAAAACAAAAGAAAAGAAAGAGAAAGGTGCATGGGGGCTGTCCAGAGTCTCCCTTTTCTAAAGTTTTTAACTCACACGTCTTTGGAGGGTTTAAGGTTTACAAAGGACAGTTATGGGGCTCACAGTGCCTCTAACTCATAGCAAGGGAAATTACACAGTGAACTATTGCCCCATGTTTTTAAAAGCTCTTTCATAAACAAATGTGAAAGCCTCCTTTCTAACCCTCCGGCCTTCATTTAATCATTTAGCTCTGGTGCTGCTCCTGGAAGGGCACTGTTCCTCCGCCACGCCTGCTCTGCTCACGCGGTGGCAGTGCACTCGCAGCCTTGCTCCACCCACACCGCCTCCTGGCTGTCCTCCAGCCTGGAGTCTCTCCCTTCCCTCGGTCAAGTCTGCCCTCCTGCCAGGTCCATTTTCCCAAAACACAGCTTCACGATGTCACCTCCGCTTAACAACTTGGTGGCTCTTCTTTGTTTTTCTGAGCAATTCAGACTCTTTATGGAGAAATTTAATGTATTCTGCAGACCAAATCCAGTTTACGTGTCCAATTTTTTCAATTATTATTTCCTTATTTCTGACTAATTTTCTTCACTTACACTGGTCCACGCCTGTCCTCTGCTCTTCCATTCCCTCTCCTCGTTGCGCGCAGTTGTTTCTCCATCGTTGGGGTTGTTCCCAGACCTTCTAGTCCCAAGGAAAACCTTATCCTCTTCTCACTAAGACATTTACCGTCCCAAGAAATCATTCTTCCTTTAGATTTAAGCCTAAGGGAAGAGTCTTGTGTAGAGAGTATGTGAGCATTTTCGATAGTCCGGGAAGGCCTCCCTTACACAGGAGTCTTGAGGCTCAGACTCGAGGGCGGGAGGAAAATGGATTCCAAGTGGAGGCCACAGCTTGTCCAAGATCTTGGCAGGAAGGGTTCAGCCTGCGTGGTTATAGCACTGTGAGGAGGTCAGGGTGGTGCGTGATGATGCTGGGAAGAAGACAAGGTCAGATCACACAGGTTTTACAGCTGTAAGGAGTGTGGACCATGCTCTCCAGCACTGGGTGTGGGGCTGCCAGGTAAAATCCAGAACACCTAGTGTGAGGTTTGAATTTCAGACAAATCACACCCAACTTTTAAATTGAAGTACATTCCAGATATTACATGGGGCATACTTGTACTACAAATTTTTCCATTGTGTGTTTGAAATTCAAATTTAACATGGTATCTTGTTTTTCACTGTTTTTGCTTAATCTGATAATCCTAATTGAGAGGTTGCTGAGTGGGTTTTGGCAGGCAAGTAATATGATCCAATCTGTATTTTAAGAAGATCTCTCTGGCTGCTTTGTGGAGGACAGTTTATAGGGTGGCAAACGTTAAATAAAGGGAGAAATTCAGGGAGACGGGTCAGTCTATCGCAGCAACCAGAGGAGGAGTGGTGGCCTCGCCCAGAAGACCGGTGCTTCTCAAACCTCACGTCCACAGGAATCATCTAAGGATCTCCTTAAAATGAACTTAATTCAGAAGATGTGGGGCGGGATCTGAGATACTACGATTCTAATATGCTTCCAGGTGGTACTGACCTTGCTGGTTCCTAGATCAAAGGTTGGCAAACTATGACCCGTTGGCCAAATCTAGCCTGCTGTCTATTTTTATTTATCATTACTATTGCTGTTATTATTATTGCATAGAAGTGCATTTATTGATAGGGCCTGCTGTCTATTTTTGTAAACAAAACTTTATGGAAATATAGCCACTTGTTTCCATGTTATCTGTGGTTGCTTTCAAGCTATGACAGCAGAGTTAAGCAGTTGCAACAGAGATTGTATGCCTCACAAAACCTAAAAGATTTATTGTCTGGCGCTTACCTGAAAAGTCTGCTGAAGCCTGCCCTAGACCACACTTTGAGCAGCAGGGGTCTAGACTTAGGAGATTACCAAGGAGATGGAGAGAAGGGGCAGAGTCAAGATATCTTTAAAGGCACAGAGTGTGGTCCACACTGGCGTATTCAGCATTCCCTTCTGATGTGACCCCAAGAAACTTAAACTGCAGGATCTTTAACCTTAGGTTGTTGTGACAGTTGAGAACTTGCCTAATCAATGTTGATTCATCTTAGAAATGTTAACCCATTGTGCTTTAAGCCCAAGGGGTTCTACTTGGCATATGCTGAAACACATATAGAAATACATCTATGTACACATGGAGAGTGTAAAGATACCGCAAAATGGTACCTGGTAACCTGAAAGAAGAGTCATCTGTCATACTAGCAAAGGGTGCCTCTGTCTCCGGTCACTCTTATTGCTGGCTGGCTTCCATCTTTCCCACCTGAACTTCCATGATCTCTACTTTCTCATGGGGATAATCTTTGTGGTAATTATAGGAGGGGATACTGAGGCACAGCATGATCATCCCTTCTGCTCATTCTACCCCTAGTAAGAAGGTACACTTTCCTCAACCTCTTTGGGACTATCCAGTGTGCCTAAGAGGGAAACCACTCTAAAAGGAAACAGAAGATGACTTTAGAAGAAAGGACAGGAGGACCACGATTCCATGTGCAAGGTTTTCCATGGAGGCATTCATTTGGAATTCTTAGAGTTGCCACTTTGACAGATTCCCTGACAAAAACACACAAGGTACATTTCTCTTGTGTTATAACCCTATTACACACAAAATACTAAAATACTACAACAAAATACTAAAATGTCTTATCATGTTAACTAGATATTAACTAGATTTAACGATGATCATTTTGCAACATATACAAATATTGAATCATTATGTTGTACTGTCATCTGAAACAGTCATATGTCAATTGTATCTCAATTTAAAAAATGTTCATTAACTTAGATTACAGTTGCTATTTTATAAACCTATCTACCTGAGCTTTCATCTCAGATCTTAGGAGAACAAAGTACAGTCATCATATTAGCTTGGTAAAATGACTAAAATTATGTTTTCCTCATCTTTTCCTAAATGAAAGCAACACTTCACATTGAACTAACATTTGCATACAAAAACTATATAAAACAGATATAGTTTAATATTGGGCTGTGTTCAATATCACTTGCCAGCTTTTAACCTTCAGGAATACTGATGGCATCTTTTCATAATATGACAGGCTGTAACCTAGCTTTACCTCTGATATTTACTCTCCATTTGATAAAAATGTAATGTTTGAGTTGGGTGATCTCATACCACACACATCAAGTTATAGAAATACACATACACACATTGATACATTATAGAGAGTTTGAACTGATACTTGCAAATTTTCAAATAGTGATAAAATTATACATTTCATAAAGATACACTAAAGGTAAGTTAAAAGATTAAAAAATGACATTATTTAAAGACCATCCCAGGGGTGTTAAAGTGTATGAATTTCTGGAATTTGCTTCGAGTATTTTAGCTTTCTAGGATGTTATTTTATATACTGAAGTAGTAACATCAAATGGTGTCAAGTGATAACATTACTATCAAGTTAATTCCAATTTCTATGGAACATAATTTACTACTAGATAGTGATTTAACACACGGAGGCCACAACGTGCCTTAGACTAGAGAGAAGTAAGCTGTTTTGCAGTGAGTCCTTGTAGTATTGGAGTGTCCCTAGTGTTATCATTTATCTTTTTATTAAATGTGACTGGTATCCCTTTTCACCATCCAGGCATTGCATAACAATAACGACCAAAATTATGAGAAATTAAGCTTGTCCAGCAGACTGAGCCATTTTACCTAGAAAGCTGAAGCCGTTCAGAGATACTGAAGAAAAGACATATCAGGAGAGCTGAACAAAAACACATCTGTGTTGCTTTCATCGACAGCAAAACGTTTGCTGCAGGCCGCGCTGCTGCAGAAAGCATCTGCTCTGTGAGACACGCTGCCTCCCAAGGCAGGCGTTCATGTCGGAATCCAAACATTTTCCCACTTGACCACTAAGCATTGGCAAGTTTGGGAATTTCATATTAAAATAAAAGGTGAAGTGTCCCCCATGATCTAATGGGGTAAATCTTTTTAATAAGGGCAAGGGGCCGAATAATGGGCTGTCACAAAAGACTTTTTCATTCAAATTTTGTACATTTCAACCAACCTGTTTATGAAGTGTCTTCCTGAAGTGCCTGGGTGCGGAGGCATTAGAGGAGAGACATAAAGCAGACAAATAAAGGGAAAAGCTTCCTATTCAGGAGGTACCTGAAAGGGTGAGTAGAAACGAAAGAATAAGGAGTGCCAAGGGGATTTTGTAATACGGGGTTGTCTGAAATAAGATTGGCAGAAAGCTTGCAGACGAAAGATTTGGTCTGCATCATGTCCTGGAAGCATTATAAAAGGAGTGTTTTATAAAGGAGAAATCATTAAAAGAGTTCACACATCCATTTGCATGAATTAGCAAACCCTGGAGAGTGTCTGAAATGTATTGCAAGTGCTGACCTGAAATGAAGGTCACTGATTTCCCCACAACATCATCAGACATCAGTGCGAACTGAGCAGTTACATCAACAAACCTTTCCAGCCAGCGTTGAAAGATCATAGCCTCCAATTATCTGCATCTCGCCCATAAACTGGTCGTTCTAAAAAAAAAACCGAGAAGCCAACATTTTACTGTACAAGAAAACCTGTAGAGCACATTTTCCCGTGCACCCAGCTACACTGCGCCTCACAAAGATAGCACAAATAGCCAGTGCAGGTCCTTGGTTGCCTATGGTTACCAATAGCCACTGGCTGCTCCTGTGCTTGAGACAAAGCAGTCTAATGACTAGGGGAGCGACTGTGGAGGGAGGGGCTGGACGGAGTGGAGAGAGGACAAACAGACCTAATTTTGGAACAAAAAATTGGAAGGTGTTTCAACTCTCCTGAGGCAGACGGAATGGGAGAAGACAGTCATACTCCGGGACTTCCCTGGGGTGGAGAGGGCCATGGGAGCCCCAGGACTGGGCCAAGCATTTGTCAACTGTGCCAGTGTCTCAGTCATGGCGGTGCAGTGGGGAACAATTAGATTGTGGTTCCCAAAGCAATTAGAGGCCCCCTCCACTCCCTACCAGCGCAGTTGTCCAGGGCAGTTCTAACAGGGCATGGATCAAGAACTACTGCACTCAGACCTTCAGACTTGGATAACAATGCTTCCGGAACTTTCTGCAGTTCCAGAAAAATGAGACCCAGAACCTTTGTAGAAGACTTTTTACTCAAATCCCATAGGAGGTTAAGAGCATTTGCTTTCACAATGTTTACATATGGTACAACACAACATTCTGACCTAATTAACCCCTCCACACTAAATAAAATATGAATTTTTTTTTTTTTTTTGATACGTGCCCCTAGCAGGAACTGAACCCAGGACTCTCTGGTCCGCAGGCCCACGCTCCAACCGCTAAGCCAAACTGGCCAGGGCAAAATATGGATTGTTACTTAGTGAATATCACAACTGGATAACATGGGGGCAAAACAGCAAACAGCACAGGCAAGCTGTTTTCTAGCCTCATTATGGAGACACATTCAAGGAACTGGAGCAGATACAACTACAGGCAATCGGCTCTGTGATGGAGCAAAACCGGTGCAATGTTGCAAACTAACCACAAGGAAGACGACGGTGCAGGCTCCTTGGGGACAAGGTGTGGAACCAGGCACCTCTTTCCTTAAAGCTGTGGACAGCCGTTGCTTTTGCCATTTCAGTGTTTTCCTCCCTTTTTCTGCCAAGACACCCCACATCTTTCTGAGGGGAATTCATTCCACATGAATTAGGTGGGGCCAGGCCTTAACCATGCAAACCAGCTATGCCTGAAGATATACCCAGCCTTGGAGTTTCCACCTACTGAAGCCAATTTATTCCCTTAGGAATTTTCTTGGGTTGGTTTGAATAGGATTCTGTCACTTGAAACTGAGTCTCATTCTAGACGTAGAGCTACTTGGTCATAGAATTGTTCATCTGGGAAGGGAAACAAACAGCCAAACAACCAATATGACAGTTTTACCAATGAAACAGGGTTTGTCTTCTTATCTTTTGCTCAAGAGGAAGAATAAATGACCTTAACATGTTTTTACTTCTGCTTGGGGTAGAGAGAGTTCTTGAAAGTGGCCCACTAAGTTAGATAAAACTAATAATTTTCTTCTTATGGGAACAGATCTCAAAAGGAGAAAATCCAAGAATCTCCAGAATCCTTGTTTTTGTACAGGCATATTAATCATATATGCAAGCAATCATGTCAATAGGTTCAGACCTTGTCAAAAATGTCGAAGGAAAAAATTTTTATTTCTAGAGTTGCTGAGATATAGGAGTTAATACAGGAGTTAACTAAGGAGAATTTCTGCATAGTAGAGTCAAATGTGTTCTTAATAGCAGCAGGAAAAATAAAATTTCAGCACCTCCAGAGGACTGTGGTATGCAGAACTGGATACAACTATTAAACCACAAAGTTTAATGTAACAAATGAGATTTATACTTTGCCAGATCAGAGTGTATTTCACAATAATTCTACTATCATCCCTATTCTATTGATTAAAAACAAAAACACAATACCTCAGAAAGCTAAAGAATGTGCTCTATGTCACACAGTAGTGTGTTGCTAAGCAAGTCTTATTTCAGGTCTTATTTAGTCCAAGTTTATAACATGTTTTATTTTATTTATTTATTTATTGTTGACAATATTACAGATGTTCCCCATTTTCTCCCCCTTTACCCACCTCCACCCAGTCCCCCGCCCGCCCCCACCTCCTTTTGGCCAACACCACACAGTTGTTTGTGTCCACGGACTCTGCATATATGTTCTTCGGCTAATCTCTTCACCTTCTATAACAGGTTTTAAATATTAGATTTGTCCTTAATTCATCTGGAACTTATATTTTCCAAGTCAATTGTCCAAATACCATTTAATGAATTGTTTATTTTTTTCCTGACTGGTTTGAAATGTCATTGGTTTTGGTTTAATAATATTTTATTTGGGATTGTTCAGCTTATCTTCATAAGTAAGACTGGCCTATAGTTTTAAAGCAAAGTGATATTTGCCTCATACAATGAGTTGGGTAGTGTATATATATATATATATATATATATTTTTTTTTTTTTCTGTTTTTTATTTATTTTTTTAATTTTAATTTTTTTTATTATTATTTTTTTATCCTCACCCAAGGACACTTTTTCATTCTTTGTTCAGATAGAGCAGGAGGGAGAGAGAGAGAGAGAATCATCGATGTGAAAGGGACACATCGAGTGGCTGCCATCCGCATGACCAACCAGGGCCGGGGACAAACTGCAACCGAGGTACATGCCCTTAGCGGGAACCGAACCCGGGTCTCTCCAGACCGCAGGCCGACGCTCTAACCACTGAGCCAAACCGGCCACGGCTGTTTTCTGTTTTTTAAATTTTATTTTTCAATTAGGGTTGACATTCAATATTATTTTGTATAAATTTACAAAATGATGCCCCTGATAATTTAGGTACACTCCTGCAATATTATTGACTATATTTACTATGCTGAACTTCTCTTTCTCATGACCATTTTGTATCTACCAATCTATACCTCTTAATTCCTTCAACTGCTTCACCCAGTGCCCCAACCCTGCTTTACTCTGGTAACTATCAGTCTGTTCTCTGAATCTATGAGTCTGTTTCTACTTTGTTTGTTCACTTATTTTGTTCTTTAGATTCCACATATAAGTAAAATCATATGGTATTTGTCTTTCTCTGTCTGATGTATGTCACTTAGCATAATACCCTCTAGGTCCATTCGTGCTGTCACAAATGGTAAGATTTCATTCTTTTTTATGGCTAAGTAATATTCCATTGTATTTAAATACTACTACTTTTTCTATCCACTCATCTGTTGATGGGCACCTGGGTTCCTTCCATATCTTGGCTACTGCAAATAATGCTATAATGCACATAGGGGTACATCTATTCTTTGGAATTAGTGTTTGTTTATTTTTTCAGATATATACACTGAAGTGAAATTGCTGGATCATAAGGCAGTTCCATTTTTATTTTTTTGAGAATCCTCCATCCTGCTTTCCGTAGTGGCTGCACCCATATGCATTCTTACCAACAGTGTATAAGGGTTCCCTTTTCTCCACATCCTTGCCAACATTTGTTATTTGTTGTTTTATTAATGATAGCCATTCTGACAGGGGTGAGGTGACATCTCATTGTGATTTTTATTTTCATTTCTCTAATGATTAGTGATGTTGAGCATCTTTTCATATGTCTTTTGGCCATCTGTATATCCTCTTTAAAGAAGTGTCTATTCAATTTCTCTACCTATTTTTTAATTGGGTTTTTTTTTAGGTGTTAAGTTGAATGAGTTCTTTATTAATTTTGGATATTAACCCCTTATCAGCTGTATAACTGCAAATAGATTGTCTTTTGATTTTGTTGATGGTTTCCTTTGCTGTAAAAACCCTTTTTAGTATGATGTAGTCCCATTTGTTTATTTTTACTTTTGTTTCCCTTGATTGAGGAGATATATCAGAAAAAAAATTGCTGAGAGAAATGTCGAAGTTTACTGCCTATGTTTTCTTTTAGGAGTTTTGTGGTTTCAAGTCTTATATTTAAGTCTTTAATTCATTTTAAATTTATTCTTGTATATGGTGTTAGAAGTTAGTCTAGTTTTTTTTTTTGCATGTATCTCTCCAATTTTGCCAACACCTTTATTAAAAAGACTTTTTTTTTTTTTTTTACCCCATTGAATGTTCTTGACTCCTTTGTCATATATTAATTGAGCAGATAGATATGGATTAATTTTGGTGGTCTCTATTTTTCTAGTCTGGTTATTGTGACTAGAACTTTCAGTACTATTTTAAATATGAGTGATGAAAGTGGACATCCCTGTCTTGTTCCTGATCTTAAGGAAAACACTTTTAGCTTTTCTCTGTTGACTATGACATTTGTCTTCTGTTTGTTCAAGAAGAAAAATAAATGACCTTAACATACATGTTTTCACTTCTGTTTGGGGTGGAGAGAGTTCTTTTTTTTTTTTTTTTTTACCCTCACCAGAGGACATTTTTCCATTTTTTGTTCAGATAGAGTGGGAGGGAGAGAGAGAGAGAGAGAAACATCGACGTGAAAGGGACACATCGCGTGGCTGCCACCCATACAACCAACCAGGGCCGGTGACAAACTGCAACCGCGATACACACCCTTAGCAGGAACTGAACCCAGGTCTCTCTGGACCGCAGGCCGATGCTCTAACTGCTGAGCCAAACCGGCCAGGGCTATGGTTGAGAGAGTTCTTAAAAGTGGCCCACTAAGTTAGATAAAACCAATAATTTTCTTCTTATGGGAACAGATTTCAAAAGGGAAAAATCAAAGAATATCCAGAATAATTAAAGAATATTAACTGTTGGTTTGTCATATGAGGCTTTTATTATGTTGAGGTATGTTCCCTCTAGTCCCACTTTGCTGAGAGTTTTTATCATAAATGGGTGCTCAATTTTGTCAAATGCTTTTTCTGTATCTATTGATATGATCATATGATTTTTATCCTTCATTTTGTTTAAGCGGTGTATCATGTTAACTGATTGCAGATATTGAACCAAACTTTCATCCCAGGAATAAATCCCACTTGATCATGGTGTACGATC